TCTCTGCTTCAAGTTTACTTTACAAAATGAGCATACTCAATCAGAAAATTGACAAGGCCTTCTGTAGCTCTCAAATTCCTATTATTCCATGGTTGTCTGGTTCAATAACTGATCATTAGAAGTCGGCCGTCACATCTATAAATTGTGCCATTGGTGAGTTCACTGGCTAAACTTGAATTTGCTTAAAATGAAATTCAGTGAAGTTTGACTCCTCATCACCAAATTAAATTCTGCCTTTGAACCGTCTCCAAGCAATTTGAAGAAATTCTAACTTACCCCTCCCCCCGCCCTTAAAATGATATCCTTATACATTCTGCTGTGTGAAAGAATCTGTGTCATGGCCTAAACTAATCCAACTGATCTAGCTCAAGGCTGATTGATGCATTCTCTACTCTAACCATGGGCTGAATGTGACTTCAACAAATAGGAGTCAAAAGTCATTCTTTCCAGTACAAGAAAAACTACAACATGGCTGACAAACACTGGGAGAGAAGAGAGAGAGAGAGAGAGAGAGAGAGAGAGAGAGAGAGAGAGAGAGAGAAGAAAGACTAGTAACACAACTGGAAAGAATTAGGCTGTGGCTTATAATGTCGGAATGCAGAATTTGTTAGGCAAAATGGAAAGTTTCCAACTATCTCCACTTGAACCCAAACCCCCTACAGTGTCCGGAAATCAGGAACTTAAACTGTCACAATAAAAATAATGAGCTTTAAAGAAAGCCTATACAGCTTATCAAGGAGAAAGTGTGGCTGGCTGCCAATTTTTTAAATGGGGTGTGGTGACACAGTCATAAAATTATTATGGGCAAAGGTTTTGCAAGGGATCTGGGGACAGAGAACTACCATCAGGCCAATGAGACCATTCCTTCTTGAATGAGAACCAAACTGTACGCCAGCACTTCGGAAAAGCTCTGTGGCCCAAAGTAGATTTGCTAGAACATTAGACAGACAGCAAGAAGACAAGAATTCAAGAGAAAAGAAACAGATTCTTATTGCAAATAAATACGATGCCTAAGTAACTACCGCCACCACCATTACCCTCCTCCGGGAGGTCAGCAGAATAAAGTCTAATTCTAATACAAAAACTGTTTACTCCGTTGCTTATTCCATTTGCTCCATTGCAAGTTAAAGCATTGCAACTGAAAAACTAACTAGACTATTCAAATCTCAGCTATGGCCAGAGAAAATTTTTTAAAACAACTTTCAAAAATTTTATCCAGGAAAATCTTTCCCAGAGGATAATGTCTGGAGAATCTGTGGACCTCCACCCAGAGCTTCATGGGAGAACGTGATGATGAATCAGTACTGATCAGTTTCCACACGCTGGACTATATAAACACATATTTGCTCCAGAGACACCAGATGGTGGCTCCTGAGCCAGTTCTGGCCCTCAGAGCATTGCAAAGGAATCTTCCAACCATCGGTCCTGTGCATTATACTAGCCAATATGCATTCTCTTATCTGTTTTTCCCATAGTTTATGAGTTTCTCCTCGTGTTGAGTCAGCATTTTCCAAAAGTAAAATAGCCAAGGTCATGTAGATGCATGTCTGTAAGCCCTACCTAAGTAGGAGCTCTCCCAACATTCTTTTGGACATCTTCAATTCAGTAATTCTTAGAGCAGCTACCATCCAATTTCAGAACACTTACCTTCTCCCTGGGTAAGACACCCCTTGTCTGTTTTAGTTTCTCCCCAGCCCCAGCACCAACCCCGGTTACATGGATGTATAGGCATGCCCGTCCCTTCCTCTGCTTCACACTCTGCAACTGATCTGACAGAATGCATTGCCATGAGTAGTTACCAGCAAGTTCTTAGTAAGAAGCAATACTGTGCCATTAAAAACACCACACACAACAACAACAACAACCCACTCAAGAAGATCAGTAGAATAAAGTCTAACACTAATGCAAAAATGGTTTACTCCATTGTTGCAGGTATGATCATCGCTTCCAAAAGATGCAGGAAAAAAAGGAGTGTTCTCCTCTACCATTCATTCCATTTTCAGAAATAATGACCAATCGGGCCTTTCAACTAAGGATCTGATTGTGCTCCTTAAAGACAAACAATATGGGTGAATTCTGCAGTGAAAATTGTTGAGAGGATCCAGGAAGTGAGGAAAATAACCATAATAAAACAGCTTCTGGGAAGACAGTTATACCACAAATGTAGTCATTTCTTAACATTAGAGGTAAGGCATAATTTTAGAAAGCAGAGTGAGGAAGATTAGAGAGGGCATTTGAAAATAATGTGTTTTTCTCGGTCAAAGAGACAGAACAGTGACTAGAGTCTTTGCCTGGCATGTGATCAATCAGGATTGATTGATCACCAGTACCTCATACAGTCCCCTGAGACCTACCAGGAGTAAGTCCTGAGCACAGGTCTAGGAGTGATCCCTGAGCACAGGACCAGGAGTGAACCCTGAGCATAGGGCCAGGAGTGAGCCCTGAGCACAGAGCCAGGTGCCAGCCTTGAGCACAGGTCCAGGAGTTAGTCCTGAAAACAGAGCCAGGAATGAACCCTGAGAACACATATCCAGGAGTGAGCCCTGAGTACAGAGCCAGGAGTGAGCCCTAAGCACCACTGGATATGGCCCCAAAAATCAAATAAATGAATAAATAAACCCCAAAAATGTGCTGCTGTGCAGCTTATGCACAAAGCACTGCCCCTCCGTTTCCTGCGACACCAGCTGCTGACCAAGGGTCTGGGTGTTTTCTGGACAGAGGAATGGGCAAGCTCTCTGCAACTTCCTCCCAAAGCTGGTGAGAGAACACTGTGCCCACGTGAGCAGCGGGCTCCACAGTCATGCTTACACATGGAGAAAATTAGCGCCTGCTCTGAGCTTCCAGCTTGAAAACTCAGACTGATGATATGACACCAATTATGCAGCAAACATCCCTGCAACACATTTTCACAAAGCTAACACCTATACCTAACTTCATATATATCCTTTTCATAGACTAAAATAGCAGTAGCAAACTGGATCTGGACAAAAAAGCAAAACAAATGTTTTTTAAAGTTCTCAGAAACTTAAAAGCAAAGAATATTGTTCATAGCGATGGATTTCTTCCTCTTAGGAGTTGGGGGAGGGGGGTTCCATGTTAATTTAGCCCAGTTGTTAAAAATTCTGTTTCATATAAACCACACATTTCCCCATTTTTCTTTCCTGAGTATGCCCTGAGAATGATAGAAAATGCATTGTAATAAAAATGTATACAACATTGGCTGGGTATGTAACCAAATAATCTTTCCTTTTAAAGGGAAAAAATAAAATGAAAATGAAAAAGCAGACATTTTTAAATCACAAATTCCCATAATACAGTCTCCCAACCAATGCAACAAAGCTCAGATATTGTATATTTTCTATTTTTTTTAAAGAGATGGAGAAAAAGAATTAGAGAAACCCAGCTAGGCTAACACCATGTGGTTATTTAACACATTTTTAACTTTCTGGTTTCACTGCCACTCATATTATACCATGACAAGGGTAATTGTAAAATAATGGTGTAAAGAAGAGATCATCTTGCAAAGCCTGGATTTGTGATCAGAGAGGATCATAAGTAAATTAAATTGAAGTAATTTCCACTTGGGCTCATAAGGATGGAAGAAATCTCAAAAGCAAATGTCTAGAATCAATTTAGCCCATTTTCACATTACCTTAACTGAATTTCAAGAATGATCTAATGTCCATATTTGAATTAACAGGAAGAAAATTAAAATTGAATTGCTACCTAGTGCTTCACTGCACAGATGAGACTACCTCTGTCTATCTACCTTACTATGTTGCTAAAACAATGTTAAAGCATTAAACACAAGGGAACATAAAATAGTTGTCAAAGCTATTTATACATCCATCTCAGAATAATTAACCCGAAAAACATAATCCTATGTGACCTGAAAGCATAACACATCAAAAATAGTGCCCAAAGGGCAGATGTTCTGCAAAGTCATCATAAGGACATAAACTACAATGCAGATAAAGAATCACCAAGTAGCTGAGATGCCAACACCAGGCTTTTGAATGTTCCCCAGTACTGTGTTCCTCTAAATCCATGACTTAAATGAGCTTCCATAACACTTAAGGAAAGTGGGCTTCATACACTGGTATAAAAGTCCACTAACAAGTAGGTCATAAAAAATCTTTCATTGCAAATAGCTTTGTTACCTTACACCAAACCATCATGAACATTCAAAAGAACTAGTCTTCCAAAAGGAAGGGATATAAATCATATTGAACATTACAGTAAAAGAGAGCTGATTCCATCATTTGATTAGGCGTCTACTACAACCACCAGAGAAACAATAACTTCCACACTCAAAAATCAAAAGAACAACTTGGCAGTTGAATTCTGACACACATTAATAGATATAGTCCAATTCTTCATCGAGAATATCCGTGAAGCCAAACTTTATTCTGATGGGCAGGACTTTTCACTTACTCGTTAATTAATCAAGTCCGCCTCTTTTTCTACTTCCAAACACCAGAGCTCATTCAATTTCTACAAACTGCATAACTGTGAGCATCCCATTGCCAGAAATTCTGAATGCCAGGTATGACTCATTTTTGCAGGAGTGCCAATGACAGTCTGAAGATTTCACAATAATAACTCTATACTGAAGAACAAAATATATAATAAATCCATTAAGACTTCATAAAAGTTGGCTGATTGCATTTTCACAAAGCAACAGCCATAATGGAGACACTAAGTAAACCCCAAGGAAACAACGAAAGAATGGAAGGGAGGGAGACATGAAGGGAAGGTGGAAAAGAAGTAGGGAGGGACGGAGGAAAAGAGGGAAAGAGGGAGAGAGTAAGGGAAGGAGGGAAGGATCTGGACAATTCTGCTTTCTCCTTTTTAAGACTCTCAAAGGCCCCCACTCAGAATAGAGCTAACACACACACACATGCGCACACACACACACACACACACACATTCTATTTGTCTTCCAAATATAGCCAGCACTGTGAAGCAAGGGAAAGAGATAATGAAGCCCAGATGCCTACCTTCACTGGTCGCCACATTCTTCTGGGCTTGAGTCGGTGTGTGATCTGTACTTGAACTCACGTCGGATGAGATGCTTGAGCTGCCTTTGCCTAGAGAAAATGGAGTTTAAGCTTTATAATTTTGGAACTGGACCCTGCCTCAACTCTGGCCCATACCAAGTACATTACATGTTTCAGAACAAAAAAAATAAGCCATCATATCAAGAATGGAGTTTCTTTGGTTTTGTGCCGTACGCCATATCTAACCCATGTCAAAGTAACCCTATCATAACATGGATTGACTATAAACTCAGCAAGATTATAAAACAGAGTCAAATAGGGGAACGTAATCGCATTTAGGCATACACGTGAATAAGACTGTACATGTGGGAAAAACAAATACTGTTTTATTTGCACCATAAACTACACATTTCCCAGAAAAAGAAGTAAAGTGGATCTAAAAGTTGGGTATTATCCAGGGAGCAAGAATCTGCTGGCCGCAAAGAACTGTATCAGCTTCTAAAATACCAAATCAATGTTTGTTGGGTTACTTTAAAAAATGAACAATGCGCACAGAATGGGATGGGGGAATGATTTGAGGACAAAAAGTGCCTGCCAGGCTGCTAAGGAGTAGATGGGGCGGGGGGAATCTGGGGACACTGGTGGAAAGAAGCTGACACTGATGGATCCATGCTAAAATATTGTATGTCTAAAACCCAAATATGTTTGCCTGATTATCTGATGCAATGTAAAATTAATGCTGGCTTCATAAAAAAAATTGAAAATATTTTCCACTGTAGCACAGTAGCACTGTCCTCCCATTGTTCATAGATTTGCTCGAACAGGCACCAGTAACATCTCACAACAAATTGCGAGACTTGTTGTTTCTGTTTTTTGGCATATTGAATACACCACAGGTAGTTTGCCAGGCTTTCCCGTGTGGGCAAGATACTCTCGATAGCTTGCCGGGCTCTCTGAGTGCCTATTGCAAGTCTGATCCCCAACACCACCCACATACGCCAAGCATGGGTCCTAGTAACTACTGTCTGGGATTCCAGGCACTTCAACCAAGCATGTGATCTTCAGTGAAACACAGCAACTAAAAGGTGTGCAAACATCAAAGATAGCAGTGTGACCTCTGGCAAACATGACAAGCAGAGTACGTTTGAGTCCCATGATTTAAGGAGAGACACTCGGGCAAGTATCTGAACTAGGAGTGTGCAGCCATTTCGAGGTGCTGGGAATGAATATGCAATCACCTAGTCAGGGGTGCAAGCCCAGAAAAAGGTCACAACCAATCTGTGAGCACAGTCAAGCATGTATGTGGTCCCTTGTCATTGCAATAACCATGAAGAGAGCAGTAGGACATTTGCCTTGCGCACAGCCGACCTGGCCGACCAGAGTTCAATTCTTCCGCCCCTCTCTGAGAGCCCGGCAAGCTACCGAGAGTATCTCGCCCGCACAGCAAAGCCTGGCAAGCTCCCCAGGACGTATTCGATATGCCAAACACAGTAACAGCAAGTTTCACAATGGAGACGTCACTGGGCCCGGTCGAGCAAATTGATGAACAATGGAAGTACAGTGCTATAGTGCTATGTTAAAAAAAAAAAAAATAGAAAAAGCAAACACAGTGCTTTTTCTAGAACAATCAATTTTTGCTGAGCAAGGCTTGCATTCTCATGGGTGTTTCTGGAAAAATCGCATGTGGAGATGTCACAGCAGGTTGGGAGTGGGGTCGATGTATGACATCTTACAATGCTCAGAAGAAAAATCTCCCACTAAAAGGAGTTATCAGGCTCAAAAAGTCAATAGTGCTAAGGATAATAACTATGAAAAAAAAACTTCTGCTCTCTTTAATCCCTCTCTCCTGAGCACTGAGTTTCTACTTTGAATAAAAGTGTACACATAAATATTGCTTAAAATGTCACGTGATGTCTTGGGGCGATAGTACACCATGTAAATTGCTTGTTTGAGCATGGCTGACCTGGGTTCAATCCCCAGAACCCCATGTGGTTGCCCTACTAGGAATGATCCCTGTTCACAGAGCCAGGAGCTAAGCATTGCCAGATGTAGCTCCCCTATCCAAAAAAAAAAAGTCACTTGAAAATCTACAAATACAGTAACACGCCTAATGAGTTCAGTGCCAATGTCTTTAAGAAACATTCATGGTACCTGCTATATAAATTTCTTGTGCCCCACTGCCACTAGCTAGTTGCTTATAGGGGCAATTTATGTGGATTGTGCTGGGATTATGGAAAGGCCTTCTGCAGGGCACCATGTACAGGAAGCTCCAGGGGGCCCCTCTCCAGCTCCATTTTTATAGGAAATTGAGAAAGTGGGCCGGGGGGGAGAGGTTGTCATCAGTACCAGGCTTGATCTCATTGATCTTGAGATCTCAAGATCTCCTAGATCTTGTCAGTCTATGAGCTTTCAGAAGGAAAGTTCTATTTTGACGAGCCACCCAGCCCGTAGACAGAAAACTGAGTGGGTGAAGCGAGTCCAGCTACTGGCGATATCCACCCCTTCCAAAGTACCCAGAACCTGTGACTGGCTTCTGCTCAACTTTATTCTACCAAGGTGCCATCTGCTAGATTCTCCAGAAATGTTTCACTCCAAGTTGGTCTGGCTTTTGCCACAAATACTTTATCCATATAACTCCTTCACCATGAGACAATTTCATCACCATGAGACAATTTCACCCCAAAGGATAAAAACAGTAACTATTGATAGTTTGAAGTGACAGCTTGGCTTCAAACGTGCTTCATATAGTTCGTGATAAGTAGGCCTGACAGTCTTATAATAGAGAATGAGGGTCTGGAGAGATAGAACAAGGGTTAAGGAGCTTGTCTCGCACGGAGTTGAGCCCTGCTCCATCCTCAGCACTGTGCAGTCTCTGAATCTCACCAGAAGTAATTCCCAAGCACAGAGCAAAGGCATTCCCTAAGCAAAACCGGATATAGTCTGACCCCTCCCACCAACATTAAATCAAGAATGATAACTACTACCTAAATCGACCTGATAGACAATATTGCAATCACTGAAGACAAGTGTGATATACCAGAGTGGGTAGCCAGGCTTTATGCCATCCTAGGAAATGCTAGCATGGCAGCTTGCAAACCCACAGCGGAGCACAATCATTCTCCCCACCCATCAAAACCAAAAATGTACGGACCCTTAGCAAGTATAAGAGACATTTGGCAATTCACAACAGTCTTCAGGAACATTAATTATCAACTCTTTAGCTAATTTAGATGAAACAATAACAGCTTGCTCTCACATGCCATCCGTGCCAAATTTCTCCAGCAGATGCTGGATCTAATGTGAAAATAATAGGCATAGAAGTTAGCATTTCTTATGGGGAGAAGGGGAGCTGCCACACCTGGTGTGCTTGGGGTTTACTCCTCTTTCTGCAGTCAAGTATCTCTCGGGAACAGCTCACAGCACCATATACAGTGCCAGAGATGAAACCTGGGACAGCCAGATGCAAGCCAAGTGCTTTCCCTTAGCAAATTATCTTCCTGCCAGGAGTTGGTATTTCTCCTAGTTAGGAACACCAACTTCACTTAGCTGACAGATTATGACATTTGCCTCAAGAGTTGTTCTTCTTGGGGCTAGAGCAACGGCACAGTGGAGAAGGTGTTTACCTTGCACACAGTCAACCTGGGTTCGATCCCCATCATCCCATATGGTCCCCTCAGCACCACCAGGAGTCATTCCTGAGTGGCAAGCCCGGAATAACCCCTGAGCATCACTGGTGTGACCCAAAAAGTCAAAAAAAAGAGTTGTTTTTTTATTTTGAAGCACACAATGATGGAGAAGGAATTGGTGTAGGACCTAGAAGGCACAGAGTTGAACCCTCATTTTCAGGGAATTTGGGAATATATGTCCAAGGACAATTTACTAGGAACAAACAGTGCCAAAGGCTCTCTGGACACAATATAAAAGCTCAGTTGTAAACATCCAGCCTCATGCTTGGAAACTAACGCCTCTCAGAATGAAGGGGAATCACTGGCCAAGAAAGAAAAGCAAGATATTTTTAATTTGTGATTAATTTTCCCTGTTTCACTGTGTCCTATTAAATGAACATCTCTCCAGTTTTTGTGACTTTATCATTTTTACAGAAAGGCTGACTTACAGCCCGTCAGGCAGCAAACACGTACGAAGCAAAGAACTTACTCAAATGACTTAAAACTGGCAAGAACAAGGGGATTTTGCAGCAGGAATTAGAGTCGCTGTAGCAGACCTTAAATTAATCACCCTGGCAGTTATCCTGGGTGGGCCTGACATAAATAGGTGAGCTGTCTAAAAGCTTTCCTGTCCACCGGACGGGCCACTCTTCCTCCTGGCCTTGGGAGGCCAGTCACTGCAAGCAGGTCTGGCAGGGAGTTCTGCAGCTGTGAGGAAATGAATTTCACCCACACCCACATATGCGGAAAAGGACTGAGACGAGGTGAGAGTACAAGGTGATGGCTTGGTCAGCACACGGTCACTCTGTGACCCTCGCAGGGTTGGTGGGAGGAGGGGGGTGCATCTAACTCCCACATGTTCAGAACGATGACCCCAGGAAACAGATAATAAATCTCTGCTGGGTTTAGCTGCCATAAGATTGTAGAAATCAGCTTTGTGGCAACAGAAATTCCACAGAACGATCACCCCACCATGGAAGTCTTTCCCCGAAATTTATAATCCAAACTGAGCACTGTTTCCTCGCAGATGCTCCTGAGACTTGGGAGTTAGCCCTGTCAAGGGTGGGAAGCTCGAGCCTGAACACAGACCCAGCAGAAAAGCACACAGGCTCTGAGTTCACGTGTCTTTAGAGTTATGTTGTTTTTCTCAGAGGCTAATAGGTAAGCAAAGTTCAAGGTGGAAGCTGAGAGGGGCGGGGTTTCCTCTCACCACTGCTCACTGGTCATCACAAGCGAATGTTGCAAAACCAGCCCACTCTCCCCACAGCTGGACCTGTCATACAAGCTGTTCCCCAGACTGAGTCAGGACAGCATAGGGAACTCTCTGAGGAGTCGTGTGGCGCCTGCCTCTGCACCATTCATCTGCCTCAGCTCACATCTGGATGGGGGAGCGCATAGCTGGGCCCAGTACCAATTTAAGAAGCA